AGTTATTACTATCGAACTATTATTCCTTTGACCTTAATAGCTAACTTTATGACTAGCGGGTAGACACCGGACGTCCACTCCAATCTAGTAAGTAGTAAAATAAGCCTATCAATGAATTCAAATAAACGAATAACTTACCAATGTCTTGAAGAACTGATATTGAACAGATGTCTTTCGGGTGATAGTCGAATTCAAGTTACTGCTTCCTTGCACTCGGAACCAACGACTGACACAAAACCATTTTATCCTCATTTTATAAAGATGTTATACAATTGAGGAATTATCCTACAATTCAAGATGTCTAATCCGTAAATCTTTATTTCTGAATGACAATTCATTTACCTCTCCTTAAGTGGGGAGACTTTTTGACTAGACAAAAAGCAAATACTTGTTTGCTATAAACACACCATAGGCCTAAACAACTCAAATATTAGATTTGTTTATTAGATTATCATCTAATACACCTCTTCTTTATATGTTATCCTCCTGCATCTCAATACATGTGGTTAAATTGTACGAATCTATAATACGTTCGTATTCTTAAACGACACACAAAAGGTGGATTTAGGCCAGCCATTGAAGACTAACTTAAGACTTCAAAAAACAAATACAGTAATTTTTATGACGAATACTTTATCTACTTGAAGTTTTAGGAATGTAGGTCATGTTTTTGTCCGTACTACTGTTTTGGCTAGGCTTCCAGAGATAAGAATTTTCCATGGTAGTTCCTAGAGTCGCATACATCACATTTTAGATAGTTAGGTGACACCGAAAATTCATCAACATTCCATTGCCTTACCATAGGGTTTTATAGTTTTTCAGGAGTAATAATAATAATAATAATAATAATAATTTATTGACATACACCATTTATATCGGTGGCACTCAACAGGTGGTGCGTCAAACATCTTAACTAATACAAAAGTAATTTTAACAAAACTAATAAAAATATACAGTAAAGTAAAAGAAAATAAAACAACAACACAAAGTCAATTTAATCTTTAAGAAGATCACACCTTTTTCTCCATGCTCTTTTTGCTAAAGATTTGCAAAATTTGTCGATCAAGATTTTAATTTTTCGATGGAATAAGTTATTGTCATTGCTGAGAATAAAGAGTAATTTGTTTTCAATATATAATTGTTGGAAAACGTGTAGGAAATCGTTAAGAGAGAGTCGCTGTTTAAACTTCTCGATTTCCTCATTTGTAATATAATTTAGAGCAGGGCAAATTAATAAAAAGTGAGTAATATTTTCTTCATTTATATTACAGCATTTACAGAGCCCATTAGCATTAGGGTTATTAGACAATTTTGCTACTTTACCATCAAGAGGAAGGGTATTCGATCTTAATTTGAATTTCGATGATGCACCCTCAAAGTCATTACTATCAAGAAGATATACCTCCAATGTAGGAGCATTCTTTACAGTCATATAGTTTTTAATAGACGATTTGCTTTTCCCTTCTTCAAGCCATTGAGATAATGTGAGATCTCTTAAAGCATTCTTTGTGTTGGAAGCCCATTGCATGCTAATATTATCGTTGCCATTACAAATGTCAGAGAATATATTATTATTACAATCTTTCAGGATATTTTCAATGAAAAGTGGAATCTTAAAAGCAATATCATGAAGGTTCTCCGACATATTCACGATAGTTTAAAAAAATATTTTTGGCCAACGATTGTCTTCTATCTTGAAAATTCTGTCGATATAATTAATTCTACGTAAATTTTGAATATGAGAGATTTTTGACCATCCAAGATCAAAATTCAAAGTAACATCAGAAGTATTATGGGGGGCCCTTAATATAAATTTTGCCATTTGCAATTGCAATCTCTCAATTCTTTCACAGTCACTTACTCCCTACCCAAATCGGGCTAGCATAGTTTATTGATGGAAGAGCGAGCGTTCGCCAAAGAATGTCCCCATAATACACTCTGTTAAAACTATTTAGATTACCAATAATTGCCTTTATATAACCAATAGGTTTGTTACATTTTTGAATTACATGTTCAATATGTTTGTGATCCTTTAAACATCTTGATATAAATTACATAAATTATTATTAACACCAAGATATTTATAGGTTTCACATTCATTTATGAATAGGTTTCATAGCTTCCATGTTTTATTTCTGTCCACTCTCTTTCCCACAACAAGTACATTAGATTTAGTATGTTTAAATTTCGAGTTCCAATCTAACATTTGAATCATTTGTCGTTCATTTTCTGCAATCAGAATTATATCATCGGCCCAAAATAGGGCTCCATGCCATGTGTTATTAATATGAACACTAATATTGTTCAATTTTAAAATTTTAATTTTTAATTTAAGGAGTAGGAGTATTTTCTGTCCTATAGTTATCGCTTCAATATTTGCCAAAATAGAAAACCAATAAATAGAAATCATATGATCTCAAGCTGAATGGATTTGATTCAAAAAGCTAAATAAATTATGTGTCAATAATGGAAGATCAAATCAGGTAGGTCTTTGGTATTAGATATCAGTGGTGGCGCAATCGGGGAGAGCTGTCTCCCCCCCCCCCCCCCCAACTCGTGTCAGAAAGTGGGTAATACAAAGATAAACCAACGTTCTCAACGTTATTGTATCAGAAATTACGTTTTAAATACGTGTATACTAACTAACTAAACTAAAAGAGCTTATAAAAATGAATTGTGTGATAAGGAATAGATCAAATCAGGTATGTCAAACTCAGCTTCCATGACTTACGAAGAATACAACGGAGATTATCAGAACTATATGCAAATACCTGTAAATGGAAACATACGAGATTAACTTTAAATTGGAATTATATATTTTGAACTCTCAAGCCTCAACACTAAATTTTTACTCTTTAATATTCATTCTTATTGTCAATTCTGACGCCATACATTGCCATTAAAAATCGCTAAAAGAAACTTTCGTAATAACGTAAGTCTGTAACCACACCCTCCATATCCACCGAGTTATTCTTATGTTCCATTCTAAAGAGAATATCGTTCATTGTAGACCCAATGGCAGGATTATTTTTAAAATGTGTTTTTGTAAACATGAACATAGCATTGATTAATTTGAAATTATGTTGTCCTACTCCAGCTTCTCAAACGGATAATTCAATTATAGACATTATCTTAGTGGCTTATAAAAAAAGGTATTTGTGCCAATACTACTAATTTTCTCAATAGGCGTCTTTAAAACTTTAAAATACAGATCATAACAAGGCTAAAAGGCTTATTTCCATATGAATTCGGAGACAATGTAGATGTTTAAGTGTCCTTCAGTTGTTTATTTGATTCTTAAAAGAAATCATTCAAAGTCATGAAGTGTGGCGTGATTACATTTGCAAAATGTTTTATAAACATTAGTTCCAGATCAAGACATAAACAACATGTTGACATTATGTCGATAATTCTTCATTTAACATCTTGCAATTCTTTGAAGTAGGTCATAAGGTCAAAAAAAGAAATAAATTGTCTGTTCGCCTTTTTTTTTTAATGATAAATAGAGGCGGGGTGGAAAAAGTTTTTTTTTAAATATTTATTCTTTTTTTAAGATACTCATCAGATGGAATAAAAATAACCCACAGAGGCCTAGAATGGCAATGTCTTACATCAGACAACAACTTTCGACAAATTTGCAGGGCGTCTGGCAAAAAATAAAGATAAATTTTTTGAAAAAATTTGTAAAAAAAATAAGCTAAAAAATATTTTTCTTATTTTTTAGCCCCTATGTTTTTCAGTGAGTTAGGGGCAGGTGGAAGAGGGCGAACAAATATTTTTTGGCCTAATTTTTACACTTTCAATATACCACATCCTTTTTTTAACCATTGTCATTTTAATCTATTTTGAACATTTGAATAGTGCATAAACTCACATATGTTACTATAATATAGACAAGAAAATTTGTATAGCCTCTACAGTAGAAGATATTACAACAGCAGCAGTAATAGTAGTAGTAGCAGCAGCAGTAATAGTAGTATAGTATTACCACAATACCATTATCATTATTATTAATAGGCCTATTATGTTACCTATTTATTTAAAATTTATGCATATGGGCCAAGGATTTGCTAAATATGATTCATATTCCCATTCATCTTATAAGCAGTGGCGTAACAGGCAGGGGCCAGGGGGGGGGGGCAGACTGTCGGTTTTTACTGGGCTGACCAAGCCGTCATACCGGGCTGGGTAAGAAGAGAAAAGAAAGAGGGGAGAAGGAGGGAAAAAGAAAGAAGGGGAAAGAAAAAGGAAAAGAAAAGGAGAAGACAAAAATAAAGACAAGAATAAAAAGGAAGATATAATGAACAGATATCACAATATCCCTGCCTGCAACCCCTTCTCCACTTCAAAAAGTGTCCATATCGCATTTGATCTAAGCTGCCAGGTATTCTCCGAGGACAAGGGGAAAATATCCATCAGTGGAAAATCTTTCCCCATTGAATGCCCTTTTCACCCGGGAAAGTTTACTGAAAATCTCAAATTTTAAATCGCATATTTTGTTGAGGTAGGCCTAGGCCAATTTCCTCTAAAAATTGGACATTTTAGGGAGTTTTGATCAATTCCGACGAAATTATAATTAAAAAACACAGAAATTTTTCGCGCGCATTTTTGAATGTTAAAGATTGTGGTTGCTCTCCTTTGCCTTTCTAAGTTATAACACATAGACCCAAACTCAAGAAAGAAAATTTAAGATAGATCGTTTTACATAAAAGAAGGGCCTCAATGTGTAATGATGTTGTAAGAATATGTTTGTAATAAATAAAGCATTAAGGAAAATGCTTATATTCAGTTTAAAAAAACGAGTGTGGCCATATATAACATAAAAGCATTTCTTGTTGAGGTAGGCCAATTTCCTCTAAAAATTGCACATTTTAGGGAGTTTTGATAATTTCCGACGAAATTAGAATTTTTAAAAAAACGCGCGCATTTTTTCATGTTAAAGCTTGTGCTTGCTCTCCTTTGCCTTCTAAGTTATAACACATAGTCCCAAACTCAAGAAAGAAAATTTAAGATAGATCGTTTTACCTAAAAGAAGGGCCTCAATGTGTAATGATGTTGAAAGAATGTTTGTAATAAATAAAGCCATAAGGAAAATGCTTATATTCAGTTTAAAAAAACGAGTTTGGCCATATATAACATAAGAGCATTTCTTGTTGAGGTAGGCCAATTTCCTCTAAAAATTGCACATTTAGGGAGTTTTTGATCAATTCCGACGAAATTAGAATTAAAAACACAAACATTTTTCATTTGTTAGGGTTAGAGCTTGTGCTTGCCCTCCTTTGCCTTCTAAGTTATTTAAAAACATAATAGTCCCAAACTTGAGAAAGAAAATTTAAGATAGATCGTTTTACCTAAAAGAAGGGCCTCAATGTGTAATGATGGTGAAAGAATAGGCCTATGATTGTAATAAATAAAACCACGATGAAAATACTTATTATTATTTAGTATTAAACACACGTGTGTGCCCTATATTAATAAGAAAATAAGCCCTATGCTGTATTGTTTTCTATATGGGGGTGGGGGTATCACACCAAGTCATAAATTACTAACCGGGAAAATTATTACCTTTGCCACCCCCCCCCTCCCCCGACCCAAGACCCCTGTTACGCGCCTGCATATAAGTGGGGCCCCCCACTTTGAAAAACGTTCCGCCGGCCCTGTGTATAGATATGATGCTGTACATAAACTTAGTGTAATGGAGTGGAGACGTTTTAAATTATTATTGTTATATTAGTTTACATATATATCACTACTATTACCACTTCATTCATTTATTCGGCCAAAAGATTACAGTAACAAAAACATGCAAAGATTGAAAATGACAGAAAAAAGTATTGGGAAACATATTAAAACATACATTGGACAAGAAAACCAATAACAGGTGTATTTCCTTTGGGGTCATCCTTACCATTACTATTGTCATTGTAGTCATCATCTTGATTATGATCATCATCGTCAATATGATGATGATGATCATCATCATCATTATGAACACGATCTGCATCATCATAATTATTATTACTATGGGAAGCACCTGAGCCACATGCAGTTAGGCTGGATGAGAAGATTTTCAGATGTAAGGGAAGAATATTCCTCACTAGGACATAACACCAACTGTGTTAATTTGTGAAACTGTAGCGAAAATGATTGCTTACATAGCAGGAGAATGATTTTTCACTATAAGCCACACTGCATAATACCAAATGAAACAAAATTTCTACAATTAACTTCAAAATATAATTTATTTAACCTACATACACATAAATGTTACATGGTTAAAGTGTATTTCACAATATATATATATATATATAAATATATATATATATATATACACATATATATATATATACATATATATACATATATATATATATATACATATATATATATACATATACATATATATATATATATATACATACATATATACATATACATACATACATATATATATATATGAATATGGTCTTAGCTTCCTCAACTGCTGCTGTTGTTAATGCTATTGTCACTGGCTTTCATAAACTTTACTTCTTGTCTGTACTTCATCCATTCTGGAAAGTTTGAACGTAGAAGCATCTCTGGGGGATCAGTTTCCTGAGGGTCATCATAGATAGTTGTCAGTCTATACCCTTCTTTCTGCCTCTTCTTTGCAGGACCACCTGACCTCAAGCTCTCCCCATGGTAACTAAGGAAAAAATTCAAGATATAAAAATAAGGAGTGCTTCTCTTTGACAATTTGTACCATAATCATAAATTTCCTTACCTCAGCCACAACCATGGGCCTGGGGTGGTCTAAACCCTCTATCTGTGAAAATCCCTCCCTGGGCCCCTCTATTTTGAATTCCTGGATCCACCACTGACTCTCAAAACTACATGTTTTTCGGAACTATTGATACACAGTAGAGTAGAATAGACATTGATATTTTCCTGGAATGTATCCTATGCAACATTTCATCCTGTGCGACTACTTAGCTTCTTGAAATCACAAGGAAAATGAAATGATCAAAAATGTGCTTTTTCAATTATTGTATTAAAATCTCACCCCAAGCCTGTCTTCTGTTTGGGATGTTGTCCTTCATTGTCCAGAGCGTCTGCCATACCAATGATAGTTCTCCCAAGACCATCCCCATCTTTCCAACCATGCTTCTGAAGTACCTTTCTACCAATACCCTATTAAACATATAAAAGCACATAAGTCAACTTATATTTACATCTCTTCTGATAAGAAGGATGGGATCAAAGAGCTTATGACTTGAAAACAAGCATCTTAAAAAAAAGTGTGCAACCTAGTGACCAGCAGACGAAGGCATCATACATTATTCTGGAGACATTTTGGAGAATTTAAAATAAAATATGTTTTGGTGGAGACAACCACTGCTGTGTACAGTTTTTTTGGTGCTGGAAGTACTTTATTAAGATATTAATATGAAAATGGGTGTTTCATAATTCAATCACGTGAAAGTAACTTAGGTATGGAGATAGAGCTCCACTGTAATAATTAAAGATGACAATTAGGAGAAAACGTATGTCCCCATCGGGATTCAAACCTTTCGATTACCGTTAGGATACTCTACCAACTGAGCTATGAGACCAAGTGGATTTTACCATTAGGACATGTTTATTTCTCAAGGTATTGCATAATACGCAATGAATAATATAATCACATGAAAGTAACTATGGTATGCAGATACACTTATAATGGTGTTAAAGATGATAATAAAAACAGTAATACAATGCCACATATATAGAGCATCATCCCAACATGGCCTCTATGCACTTCAACTTATTATCCTGGTCACTGGTTTAAATACCCATGCAACAGATACTCAGTTCTTTGAGGAAAATCTAATACTTACGAGGTAACAATTTATACTACTGGGTGGAGAGACAACCATAGAAAAAGTGCCTTGTCTAAGGACCCAACAAAAATCGACAAGAGCAGTTCAAATTGTGACCTCACAGTGGCATCACAACTGATGCGCCAACTGCTCTCAAAATAAAGATTGACTTCCAGGTAGATCCAGGTAGGTTGGTAACAACTGACCAATTACAGGGCCAGGAATATGCGCTTGTCCCACAAACATGTGTTTAAACTGTCATATTTTAAGATCTTAACAACAATATCTATTGGTAGAATGGTCCACTGACCACTATCTTACCTTTGTATGTTTTTCAAATGCTCCTATTTTCTTGGAGAATGCGCTAATTTTTTGTTCACCAGATCGTAATCTTTGCTCAAGTCGCATCTGAACATAATCCCTTGCATCTTTATCTCCACCATCTATGAAGCACAACAGGCAAGATAATAATAATCATAATATTGGTAAACTTAAGTTGCAATAAAGTGTTTTGTATTCAAATTTGTATAATTGAAACAGGCTATATTTCAATAAACAGGTAAAATAGTTGTTGGTTGATTGTGATGGTTGGATAATCGATAGTGGTGTATGGCAGCAATAAAATAAGGACTGAGTACAAAAATTTAAGCTGTATATCTGGGTTTATTCAAACATATTACGTGCCCACAGCACAGCTTGGGTCCAGCAGTGGCGTTAAGGAGACAGAGGGTCTTTTCCTCCTGTAGGACATGCCTAGACCCCCCACCCTGTCTGATGCCGTCGTCTGATACTACAACAATTTAGTTGAATCAAAAATTTAAAAAAATAATAATCTGCCTATACTAATAATGTTATTTTGTTCCTAATATTGTGGTCTAAAAGCACAATTTGGAGCATACTAATCCATAAAATCTCTTAATAATATTTTATTCCGAGATCCGGACCAAAACTCTAGTCGGCAAATTTCCGGAGCCACCGCTGCTTGGATCACACTCGTTTACTCCTCACACCTCGACCCACGAGACACCTCTCTTGGGAACATCCCATAATACTTTACAAGTTGAACGGTTACACTATAATCGCATTAGGAAGGTTTCGCATGCGAACGTGTATGTCATCATTTCTGACTTCATACACCAGTTGCTATCTGCTAACCGTGTGGACGAGACGCATATCTCACTCACTACACGTAAGTGAAAAACGTGCAGGAAAATTTTGGATTTCTAGTACTATCTTCTTTGTTTTATCACATTTTACAGTAAGTTTAAAAAATAAATGTATCTTTATTACGTACGTGTCATTTTTGTGACTTTTGAAGACAGCAAGTTACGATAGGATGTGTATGCATCTTATTTTGGGGTATCAAAAAATGTCGGTGCTTGGTGGGCAAGAAGTGAAGAAGTATTATTTGGCTCTACTTCCAATTTCCAAAACCTTACAAAAAAAACTTTAGGCTATGCCAAATTCTGAATTTGAAAAGCATGATGAGGGAAGAAAACAGAATAGCCTATCTATCCATAGGCTAGGCCGACGCGAAAAGCACAGAATGGCTACAAACCGTTACGGATAGCTAAACGTATGTGTACACGTTTTCGTTCGCGTGCGAAACCTCTTTAATAATACAAACAATCATAATCAGACTTATAGTACTACCATGGTAGTACCAAATATACCATGGTTTAAATTTGCTCACATGAATACAAAGGTACACCAGCCAGAAATATTTCTGAAAGTTGTACATAAAATTTAGAGCATTATGTAACATGAATGGAAAATTATAAATTGTTTTTTAAACTTTGCATCACTCATTAAGTTGAGTGCTACCGATGTAAATGGTGAATGTCAATTAACTATAATATTAAACTCTTTAATACTATAAAGATGTTTACGCAATAATGTATTAGAGGCTGTTATCATTAATAATGGGCTTAAAGCAAAAGATGATAATATTTAGTTAATAATAATTCATCTATGTTGTTGGTAGTACTTTGAACTTTGAACCATAAAAGTTTTCACTTAGTGTGGAAATGTTTTTTTAAATATTTAATAACTAATTAAAATACTCACTTTTTTCATAGTAAATGCTTGTGTCAACATCCCAATCATCAGACGTACGCTCATCAAAATCTAAAGAAAAAAAACATCACTAATAATGTTATATATTTATAAGTATCCATTAAATAATAATAATAGTCATAATGTATATTTTTACAATAATATTAGACATTTAAAGTGCTTTACCTTATTCTAGGCACATTTTTGTGTCTCTGGAATTGTCAGTAAAAGTTGTTTTTGTTGCTTTTCTTTATTGTTTGCCTACAATTTCTGAATTTAGTGGTAGGCATATCTATGAAAATTCTTTTGAAATTAAGTGATTTTAAGAAATACTTTAAAAGGATTTTAAAAATACTATTAAAAGAGTACAGTACTGTGTATGTAGAAGGGCCCGTCCTTTTGGACCCCCTGAGAGCTCATAGGCATTACGCCCAGCCTCCTTATAATCACCATCAAAAATGAGTCATTATCAGTAACATCACTCCCATCATCAATGACCGAACTGAAGTGATAGTTAGCACAGTGGTGGGGATTGAACTTATTAAGATTCTAGTTTGAAACCTGCAAAAATGTTGTAATTCCTTGTGTATTTGTGTAAAAACGTTTTGCACCAACAGACTTATGTTGGTAATGTCCCACAAACAACAATGTAAGAACATACACACACATGCATTTGTGGGAAAACATGTGTTTGTAGGACATGTGTGTAATCATGGCCCGGTTCTGATTGGTCAGTTTCAACAAAGAACCATTTATATAAATTTAGGCCAATATTATTTTAATTTTTCATATTTTTCATCCTGCATCATAAATCTCAGAATAATTATCCTTCTCATTTTCATCCTCATGAACTACAATAGATAATACCATGGTCAACACTATTATATTCCTACCTCCTTTTTGTGCATCCCAATATGCAGCATCTGTGTAGAACACCAACCCACTTCCACCCTTTTCCCAGACCACTTCCATTTCTTCTTCATACAGGCGTTCCTTGTTTCGATCCTGGCTGTGTACATCATCATGCAAGGCTTCGTGTCTTTCCCATTCCTCGCAAGTGTCATCATCCTTAAGACAAATTCAAGTAATTAATTAGTATGGCTACTTCGTTTATTCCATTTTCTTAATCAATGATCCCCAAACTGTGGGTCACTACACAAATGTGGCCCAAAAATCATGTTAATTCTGAAATCGGGAAAGTGCCGTTTCCATCTACAGAGGTGCAATAATTTCAAACTCTCAGCCCCAAAAATGATGGAGTGAGGCAGACAGACTCTCTGCATCTGTATGTGCCCCTCTGGAATTTCAATTCCTGAATCCTCCACTGAATGATACCGATTGCCATAAAAATGCCACATAAACAGTGCTTATGAGTAAATATATTGGACAAGCAACTGATACACAGTACAGCACAGGACACTGCGGTGATATGACTAGAACTAGCTTCAGTGCTTGAGAAAAAACAACCAAGTTATGCAATATTATTTATTTGTGGTTAAAACTATAACAATTCTTTCATACAGTACAGTATTATAATAATAACTGGTTCAACTTACATCATCTGAACCTGATCCTTCTTGATTTTCTTGTGTATCTTTTTGCTCCTCCACATTCTCATCCAATTTACCAGTTAGATTTTCTTGAATGTCAGCATCTAATTCATCTTCGATTTCATTTCCTGTCCCTGTCAATATTGTTTCAGTTTCCTCATCTCCATTAACAACTTCTCCCCCATAATCAAATGGTACATTCCCATACCTTTTATTAGTCCTTGATTTAGGAAAAGTTAAGCCTAGCTTTTTTATCATTTTCGGCGGAAAACGACATGATTTAATCAAGTTGAGGAACACAGACGTTGGAGTACCAACATTTCCATTTGGCATAATATCTGGAGGTCGAAGTTCAACTAGACTATCAAGATCTGATTGTGAAAATTCTTCTCTGTCTGAAGGAATCTTACATTCTCCTCTTGTTTTGTAAGGAAAGGTCTGAATCTTTTCTTTCTCTGAAATAAAAAGATTTTAAGAATAAAATGTTATATGATTAGTGAATTGGGATTGCTTCTATGCCTCTAGCTACTACCACTCTGTGCAAGTGCTATAGGTCTGGGCAGCTGCTTTGCCTTTGGGCAGCAGTTCACGCCTTTGGGCCACTGATACAGTGAAAGGGTGGCGACTATGCTAGTTTAGACCCAGCAACTTCACTAGACAAAACCTGTTAGAGCTCCTATACCTCTGGGTTGGCTATGCCTCTCAGCTTCTGCTATGCCACTCTAGTTGCTGCTATGCCTCAAGGCAATGACAGACCTTGACCCAAAGGTGGCAAGTATGCCGGGCCAACACAGGCTACCTTGGATCTGGTGACTATGCTTTTAAACCTCTAAGCGGCATTTACAATGACTTTCGGCGGTGAATATACGGTGTATACCAGCTAGAATGTGCCACCTATTCAGTTGAGAGAAGACTACACCAAACTAAAGCAGTGACTACACTGGGCTAGAAATCATGAAAACGTCACTAGGTGGCAGTTACGCATCTAGGCAACAGCTACGTCTCTGTGCTGTCGATACTCTTCCTGGGTATCTGTACTGTACATTTTTGGGAGGCTGCTATGTCAACCATAAACAGTGCTTATGCTGTCCTAAAAGTGTCAGGAATGTCCACTTATAGGTGGCGACTACTGCCTATATACTGTGATGATTTCTATGCCTTTAAGTGGCTACTAAGGTTTTTTCTCGACACCACTGTATGGCTACTTTGCTTCCTGAGTGGCCGCTATTTCTCTGGGAAGCTGCTATGCCTTTGGCTGGCAGCCAAGCCTAGAGGCAAGAACTATGCAAGTTCAGAGGCAGAAACTACACTACGGTAAAGGGTGAAATTATGCCAATAGGTAGCTTCTACTGTAAACCTTGGAATGGCTGCTAAACCTACAGGCAGCTGCTATATCTGCGAATGGCTTCTATGCCTCTGGGCAAATGCTTAACTCTGAAAGGCTGCAGTATGTCTTTGGGCACTGCTACTGTAGATTTTGACTGTTACATCTCTGGGTGATTACTACTTCTCTGGTTGTCTGAGCATCTGCTATGCTACTTTGGGCTGCAACATCTCGGATGAAGAAGTTGATTCAGAGGAGGCAAATGTGTCAGCCTAGAATGTTCAGTGGACAGGCAAACTTTGTGATGGCATCTTGTTTCTGAGTGGCAACTACACCACTGAACAGCTTTTACGATGAGCAGTCATAGAGGCAGAAACTATGTCAGTTTGAAAGTGACTCCACCAATCTAGGTAGTGACTACACTGGAGAAAAGGCAACAACTAATTCACTAGGTGACTGCTATGCTTCTAGGCAGCTGATACTTTGCTGTGCAGCTTCTACGGCTTTAGGCTTCAGTGCTGCTAAACCACTATGAGTTTATAAGCTTCTGGGTGGCTTTTTCTATTGTATGTTTTTGGAGGCTTCTACACATGTCTGCAGCTGCCACATCAACACTGTATTACCATAAATGTGGCAGTTACGCTAACATAAAGGCGACTACTCAAGCCTGGAGGAACCAGCTACTATGACTGTAGTGCACTACGCTGGCATATTCTAGACTACTTGACAACTGCTACTCAATGTTTTGGAAGGATGTTGTAGCTGTTGGAGCATCATTGCTCAGTCTTCTGGTGGAATACATCCAATGCTATGGCTTGGGTGACTACCATACTTCCGGACAATTGCTGTCTCTAGTTGGTTTTTGCATTTCTGCTAGCTGGTACACCTTAAGGCGGCTGCTACGGAACACCAATTTACAGCTCAGTAGGTATGATGACCTGGAGATGTGGCCAATGCCAATCTAGAGGCAGCTACTACGTCACTAGGTAACTGCTAAACTTTTGGGTGACTGCTACACAGCTGCTGTCACTCAGTAGCAGATACTCCTCTGGGTGGCTACTACACTTCTGGTGACTGTACAATATGTCAATCTAGAGTAGTGTGTACACTGACACCTGGAGACAACTGGTAATATGCTGACCTAAAGGTGGCGATTATGTCAGTTTAGAAATGGTTACTACATCAGCCTACAGCCAAGGACATGTTTGTAAGTGGTGGTTTTTATGCCTCTATGGTACAGGCATTGACTACAACAGCTAAAGTAGAGGTGATGATTACCCCTAGTTTAGGGGCAGTGATCATCTTGAAGAGGTGGTGATCATGACGGGATGCCAGGCTAGTTGCTGACTCTGGGCAGCTAACATTTGGGTGGCTGCTAAGCATTTCAGCATCTGCTGCACTATTTATGTAATGCCATGCTGGTCTATTGTAGTGGCAGCAACAACTATGTGCAGTATGTCATTGTCTGCCTTGAGCTGAGCTGCTTCTACACCATTTTACAACATGCTTCTGGATAGCTGCTAGACCTCTGGGGAAGTGTTGTATATAAATGACTGCTGCTATGCTAATTGGTAGTATTTTCATTAGGGTGGTTGTTTTGCCTCCACATGACTGTTGCACTAATTAGTGTGGCACTTTATGCCTCCAAATGGTTGTAATGCCCCTGGGCAGTGTCGTATGCCTCTTGGCTGGCCTGCTAAGCCTCTGAGTGGTGATTTCTCTGGGCAACTGCTTAAGCTTCTGCTAGGTAGCTGCACATCTATAAACGTGCTAGATAAAAAATCGCTAGGAAAATAGGTGCCCGGAATCGTAAATGGCTGCATTTGCTCAAAGCCTAATTTTCGGCAAAATCTGGGCGAAAATCGGCTCTTATTTTTTGAAATACGTGGATGGATTTCTAGGCCAAATTTTTGTGCAGAGGATATATTCCCCACGCAAGCCTTATTATACAGTCTGGGCTGCTGCTGCATCAACTTTGTTTTATCATACTTCATAAAGTAACAATAGTAATAGACTGTATTCTCCATTGGTTGTTAAAATTGCTTAGGCCAACTTGCAAGGCCCTACTTACCAACAGTTTCTGCCTTGACAGTAATTCTTGAAATGATACAACGCATTCCTAAAACAGAACCATTTCGTCCTATCCAATGTTTATTATTATACATTTTTATAAATTTAATCAACATATTTTCTTTTATTTTCAGTATGCAACACATTGTATTTCCAACGTTGACATAAGGAACATTTCCAGTCGATGTACCACTCTTCATAACAAGCCTAGGCCTATTACTACTACTACTAGTAGTAGGCCTAGTAGTAGAAGTAGGCCGACTACGCTCACTACTCTCATTGTTGTGGTCGGTCTCATCAGCCGTCAAAGCCTGCTCGGTTGGCTTACAGTCCAATGAGGTTTGGACTTCGTTTACAACTGTTTTTCTTCGTCGTTGCTCTGGTCTGTGCCTAAAATGGAAACAATCGAAGTTTCCACCTTCGATAAACTGTGAAAAGTAATTTCGTAAGTCCGCTGAATGAAAAGAACATGGTATATTTGAGACAACACAATACTCCATTTTAAATCGTTTCCTGTCGTGTACTACCATTACCAATCTGGGCCGCTGAATTTTAGGTTTCACCAGGTTTCACACAAACCCATGAGAGCGATCTCACTTTCTGACCTCCTCCTAGGAGCTTTATAGGCATAGACATATATTCTCTGGAAGGGAAGTAGGCCCTAGTTAGTATTGATTATCATTTAGCAACTGAATTTTCAGCAAGGTAGATTGTAAGTTTATACTTAATAGTCACACAGGAATTTTCAATCGTATTTTAGGTTGAAATAGAGTAATTTTTGTCAAGATTTAAATTGCATACTTCTCAGCTTGCCAGGCCCCTTTTTTCGGAGATGTAGGCCTAGCCCTACGGCGTGTCTTGATGGATCTTTGCTGTATGGCCTAGCTAATAAGAATACAGGAAGTGATCCCAAAGTACACACATTCAGAAGCAAGGTTTCACAACAAGCTCTCACCTCTCCTGTCAACAGAAGAAAACATTGGACTCTACCATACAGCAATGGCATACCGACACAAAGATAGATATACATGCAAACATTGCCTGCAAAATTTTTCAGCAAAAACAAATGTTTACCGGCACATACGTAATGTTCACTCTGAAGTACACAATGAAGGTCAGCAGAAAGGTTTTTTTTTATAACCTATAGCTTGATATTTATATTAAATCTACTCTTTTTCAGTATATTTTCTTTCAAATTCTGTTTTACGATGTTCATCCTCCCTAGTTAGTAATAATAGCTAACTGTTGCTTTATACAAATTTGAATGTATTAATTAAAATCAAATCTAAGGAAGGGTGGTGGTTTCAGGCTTCAATCCTGAAAATTCAAGTTTTTTTTCACCCATGTTTTCACCCTCCCATGGCAGCAAAGTAGTTAAAATACTAAAAATGACCTAGCGGTTTCATTGGAATAGAAACTTATTTCCGCTTTCTCAATTTACGCACCCTGGGCCCCAACGCAGTTCTGCATTCTCAACTTTTGCTTCCCCGCCCACACTCCCGGATGAAACCGGCCTACGCCCCTGTAATGTTACCTTTGTGCGAAGATCCTAAATTAAAGGTTTTCAAATTAATCTAAAGTTAATAGAATATGAACTTGTTGAAGTAGTGAAACAATTGTATGAATGAGAGTATAATAAAAGTACAATATACTGTAGAGTAATATGTTTGATTCATTTATTTAATATAGCAGTATTACATTATATAATGCTACTTTAAGTAGTGATGTGTTGATTATTTATGCATGTCCCTTATCATGCCTACTGTAATTCTAATGCGAGGTTTGCTTAAGATGCTTGTTGCTTGCTGGGTTTGCATCAGGTTCTTCAGTGCAAGAAGCTGGACCGATTCTTCTTGGTCAATCACACTGCTCAATTTGCAATTTAACATTTGGAAATTTAATTAAAACATAATTTTATATAATTAACTCCTTTGTAATTTTCATTTATCTAGAATCAAACAAGATTCAATGTGTGAAGTGTGATTACAAAGGACGACGCTTGGATCAACTGATGGAACATGTCAAAGACGTACATCAAGTGATACCGGGTATTGTGAAACTCGAATTCGATAGCAAATTAGATTTCTTATTCTGGAAAGGTGAACAAGAGAAAATAACGATGTCAGTTTATGCGCAGAAAACTTCTGCAAAGACTGTCGGTAAAAACAAGCATCTTTACTTCTATTGTAATAAAAGTGGATACATAGCAGATATTGATGGACGTAAACGAAAGAATCGTGTTGGTAGTGAAATGAAGACAAAGACATATTGTATTGCGTATATCAAAGCTATAGTGCTACGGGATGGAAGAGTGAAGGTTGAATTTTGTCAGACACACTTTGGACATGTGGCGGGAGATTCGATGCAGACAGATGAAAATCGACAAGATAGTTCAGATGATGAAGATTTGAAGAAAAAGAAAAATAAAAAAGACTGACATGATGAACTGTTTGAGAAAAAACAAATTAAAATTATATTGATGTTTTGAACAAAATCCTATCATTCAGGATTTCATACCCTAGACAATGATAATAAATAATATTCCTAGCTTTCTTATAGATTATGAGTGAAAATATTAATAAAAGTTGTAGATTATTGAATGAAAGTCAAATGTATTAGTTTCCTTATTTTATTTAATTTACATACAACAGCAAGTGGCCAATACAAAAGCCACAATAATAGTAAGGTATGTAATGATGGAGTTCTTCAATTCTGAAAAAAAAAACAAACAAGTAAATAAAAACGGCAAAACACCTAATACAGCATATCAGGGAAATATTTTAAAAATATACCGTAATGAAATAATATTTTTGATAATGTCATAAATTTATACTGTGTCAATTCAAAAATAAAAGTATTCAAGAAGGAAATGGAAGAATAATCTAAAATGTTTTAGATAATAGGGAAGTTCAAGTTTTGAGATTCTTTTTGATGAAGACTGAATTTGTGAACTGTTTATTTACATAAATGGGTAAATTGAACTGAGGGTTGTGTTGGTTATAAACAGAAAATGGAATGTTGACCATATTATTATATTTTATTTTTAAGCGAAGGGACTGGCAGAATGTGTTTATCAGTGGAACGGAGTACACAGAAAAACAGAGTGTAAGACACTCAAAAAAAAAATAAAAAAATTTCGTGTATGGCGGCCTACTTATGACACAGTGAGTGACAATGACAGTTGAATCTTGGTGGTCTTGATAATACGTCTGGATGATAAGTCTATTCGCACATGCCAACATGGTTGCGGTTGTATGATGGCGTGTGAAAAATGTGAAGAACAAAATTCTTCAATAGAACATAAAAACAACTCAGACGAAAGCGTTGATTTATTTCGGGACACATACGTCAGATACCTAGGTATATTAATTATTTTATTATATTATTTGTTGTTAAAATTTAAGCTTTAAAGAGACTTTTAACGTATGCTTGTGATTTAGCTAGCGTAGCAAGATCGGGAGGCCGTCAATCAAGCTGATCATTCGTGTTGTGCGAAATAATAAATACAGGAAGTAATCACTTCGGGTCGGGACAGCCATGCAACAGGAAAGTTCATGATATCGAACACAAACAAACTGGAAAGTACAAATGATTAGTTCTTTAATAATTTATAAATTAACGAAATGTCAAGAACTGTTGCAAGTATGTCATTTGCCTGTAAATACTGTCCAAAGTTGTTTTCTGCCAAAACCAATTTGTACAGGCACATCCGAAGTTTACACAAGGACTTGCGGGATATCGAGGGTAAGTGGAACCAGGGAGGAATGACCGGTTGCTTAATAATAGTAGGCCTTTTGTAGTAGTTAGTATCATTACAGTATGTTGTCAATACTGAGATATCGCTAAACTGGGAAACTCCATAGAATTATTGAATAAAAGAATGAACTTTGTCATTGATTGTTTTGTATTTGTATTACAAAAATTGTTGCACTAGAGTTTGTTAGTGGTGAGTTATTGCCTAGGGGACTGATAGTCAGGGGCTGTTTGTTGGGGGAGGGATTATCAGAGCAGTTATGTATCAGTTATTGTATGTGTGTGGGGGGGTGGGGGCGACATTGTAAGTTGGAGAGTTAAATGGTTCCCGTCTGTTAAGCCTAGGCCTACCTAGAGCTAGTGTGAGGTAAAAGGCCTAAAACTTCAATGTGTATAATGTAGAAACTAATTAAACTTTCTTAGTCATGTCCTGTTATTTGTGGGAAATTTATTTCTTGAGAGTCATTTTTGGATGAGTGTATATTTTTATTTGGCTACATCCTTGTTGAGTTTTTGGTGCAATATGATTAATTAAATTAATATTTGTCTCCTTTCATAAATATAATATTAATATTTACATATTTTCTTATTCCAGAACAGCAAAAAATCCACTGTGTGAAGTGCAATTTCAAAGGTCGTAGGTTAGATCAACTGAAAGACCATGTAAAAGAATGCCACAGCATTGAAGCTGACATCATAATGTTAGACTTTGACAACGAATTTGACTTCCATTTTTGGAAAGGAGAGCAAGAAAAGAAAACTATGTCATTATATGTACAGAACACGTCAGCAAAAACAATAGGAGCTAACAAACATATCTATTTTTATTGTAATAGAAGTGGGTATGTAAGAGACATAGAAGGGAGAAAGCGAAGAAAACGATCCAAAGGTGATCAGAAAACCAACACATACTGCACTGCATACGTTAAAGCAATAATTAATAAAGAGGGAAGAGTTAAAGCAGAATTTTGTCCAACACATTTCGGTCATGAAGACAGTGTGGAATTTTTGCAATATGCACCTAGAAATAAAGCGAAGCTGTCTCGATTGCTTGATGAACAAGATATTCCTGTGAACAGTAGCAATGCAGATGCTGACTGTCTTGTACGGGTCAGATTGGATTTCCTTGACCTCCTTCCAGAAATTGCATTCCTGGCAAACAAGTCCTCAGATGTGCGGCTGTTGACACGGTGTATGGACAACATGAAGACTCATGTGATCTCACTATTGACTCTTGACACAGAAGATGATGCTTCTCTTAACAAAAAGAGTAAAACAAGTTCAAATGATGATGGCATTGAATCGAAGAGGAAGAGAAGAAAGAGGAAGTAAAATGACTAGTTCTTCATTTAAAATTACACCAAAAGTTCTGTTTTATATAATTTTAAATTACATTATAAGTTCTATTAAATTTGATTTAAAATATACTGTACATTAGATAGAAGTTTTGACTGCTGTGTAACCTTTACACTCGGACTACTAGAGTACTCAGATTCTACAGAAATTTGGCCGAATTATACAGACAGAAGAAAGTGAAGAAAAATTATACAGAAATACATCATTAGATCCATAAAGAGGTTTCCACATGAGTGCCCCCATCATCATACAATTTAGAACAACCCATTTTGCAATTAGGACACAGGGCTATACAATTCGTTATTTTTATAATACAGTACTACCAAAATTTTGAGACAAATTTCAGAAAAAGTTGAGAACTCCAAATTCTACACACTTGACAATCACACATAAATCTCAGCTAAGGGCAACCTGTAGCAAGATAAACTTATTTAGAGGGCACCCCTAACTTTTCCATCAAGCATCCCATTTCAGCTTTGTTGTCCACAATCTATTGTGGGGAACAATGGTGTAATCCCTGTGATCTTGTTATTTTTGCTGTTAATTTGTTTAAAACAATTTTGCTTAAAAATTTGAAATAAATTTACAAAAAACAAATATAAAGATATTTTTCTTAGTTGTTACATTCCAATCTTTTATTGTTCAGGCCAAAAGAGTTTTACCACTTGTGAGATAATAATGTTTGGTTTGTTTTCTATGGTATTACTGTATGAATAAAGCTTTCTTTTCTTTTATTTTCATTTAGTTGTAATGAAATTTATTTTACATGCCTTCTGATAAAAACATTTCTTAAGGGTTTCATTTAATGATATTTTATATATTTACCAGATTTCTTTTAATGTACAATTAATTTGCAAAATGTTATACAGTAACTGGTAAGTTGGTTCATTCTTTTAATATGTTTAAAACAATTTTGTTTAAAAAATTGATATAAATTTACAAAAAAAAATCAAAAAATAAATAAATAAATATAAAGATACTTTTCTTCATTGTTACCTTTACATATTTTATTGTTCAGACCATATTGCATGGGTTTCATTAGTGATATATATATTTACCAGATTTTTAAAAATTTACAAACAATTTCAAATTTTTATAACTGGAAAGCTGGTTTAATATTCTAAATAAACATGAATTGTTGGAAAATGTGAGCGAGTCCTGCTTTTTACATTAAGTTTGTTTTTGTATCCAGTACAGTAAACCTAGTTCTATTTAGATAAGTATACGAAGTATAAAGTAAACAACAGTGATTTCAGCATTTCTCTGACAAGTGATACATTACCGGGTATGCCGCGACAGACAGGCCACGCGCACTTCTGACCCACCATGATTGGTGCTGTGGTGAACATCTGGGGTTACCCCTCTTCTAGATTACCAAAAATGGTACTCTCACACCAGCTGTCCATGGCTTACAAAATGATTTGAATTATATTTTCCCTGACAGATGTGCCGTGACTCCCCAAAGGCCAGGCAAGCTGTCTGTTATGGCTTGGCCCGAGCCAAGCTGACTCACTCACTGGTGCCACCCTTTAAAATAAAGATATCTAATTTATGCAGCAAAAACATACGGTATCTATAAGTAAAAAGAGAATGTGAAGAAAATGACTGAGAAAGGGCAGATGTTAATGTTAAGACCTGGTTTGAATGCGGTAATACAGCATTGAGACTCTGGTCCTTGTCATTTACCAAAGTTAAGCAATGTTGTGCCCAGTTTTACAGTACAGTACTGTAATTGGATGTGAAGAGAACATTCTGCGGACTGACTGGGTGCTATGCAGGGGCGGATTCAGAACGGGGGGGGGGTTTTCAGAATAGGTAAGTGAGAAGCACATAACATTGATTTGCATTGCAATTTTTAAAATTTAGTGGCAAAACAGGGGTGGGGATGTCCCCCCCCTACTGGATCCGCCCCTGCTATAGGCTCAGCTTAAATGAGTTGATTGAATTTTAATACTTCAGATAAGGACTCGCCCAGTGTACACAATCAGCTTGTTTGCGCTTTAAAAACACCCAGTACATCCTTCAATAAGAGTAGGGGGTTATGCTGGTGTACTGATTCGCCAGGGCCCTGTTGTGGACAGCAGCTAATTGGACATGAAGTGACTCTTTGGATGAGAATAAATCTATTGAATCATTTGGTCCACACCTGTGAGTATTTCACTATTAAAGCTACAAGTCACAGGTTATTTCCCGCGTTTACTCTACTATTCTAGCAATGCACCACCTTGCAATTTTTACTCAAGCTCTTAGTGCATGTTGCTTTTCTATCTGGCGTCACTTCTTACTTTTTTTAAATTTACTACTTTTTTTTTATTAGGTTATGCAAATGAGGTGGGTGAGGCCTTCCGGGCTTTGGTACCGGTTTCTGTTGTGCGGGCAAGTTATCTGGTAGCCAGTGGCTATGTAGTAGCAGACGCAGCTCACAAAGGGAATCAAGCAAAAGAAGTAAGAAATCATTTTATTTTTACTGGTTTTTTTGGTTGATTTACTCGGAAGCAACACGAATGTCCGGAGGCTTTTTGGGGAAACAAAATTTTAAAAATAAGTTGTTAAGCTATATAATGTACAGATAACATTTGGTGATGGAGGCATTTTATTGAGACAATTTTCATGGGCGGAGGCAAAAAAATTATTTTCCAGGCCTGACTATAACTAGCATTCTCAATATTTCTTACTCAGATGCAATGGAAAACAGAATCTGTTCGCACGAAGAAAATTCTCCACGCCATTGGAGATACCATCATATGGCAAGGATTGGCATCGGTTGCCATTCCAGGTTTTACTATCAATCGTATTTGTGCAATATCACAGCTGCTACTCAGGAAGACAACAACTTTACCTGCCCCCATAAGAAAATGGACAACAACGGCTGTAGGCTTAGGCATGATACCAATCATTATTACACCAATTGATAGGTCAGTTGCTATAACTTTTTAAAACATCATTAAAACATAATACGAAAGTGATTACCTTTCTCAAATATGTGGTGTTTATTATCTTTATGGCCGATTTACATAGGGCATGACAGTTGTATTGGACAGTGACAAAAATATTGTGTCTCGGAATACAATAAATTTACACAGCATGCGACATCAATCATCACACAAGTATTGTTTTCCTGGTTTGTTTGCTCCCTGCAAAACAGTGTTGTTTCTAGAGGGGGTCCGAGGTCAGCCTTTGGAAAGTTTTCATTTTTTTAGATGCATGGAAATGCACTTTCCTGCATTCTGAGACATCTATTAATGAATGAATAGTGACAATAAGGAGGAGACATCGGCGTAGCTATAGGTGATGACAGGCCCTGTGGACGTTTAGTTACCGGTTCCTTTGATCTGAATTGCAACTGAGGCATCACTAGCCTGAGTTACAGTTGGGGTTTGGCGACATTATACAGATGTCGGACAACTAAATTTATATGATATATTTATGATATCTCTTTTGTATAGACAGTGATATGAAATCCACAAAATACGAGTTCAGGCATTCATTTGCTTCTGTTGGTATATTATATTATATTTTATAAAACAAATGAATAATGAAAATAAAAAAAATACAAACAAGATAGATACAAGTAAAATACACTACACTAATGCAAAATTGAAACGCCAATCTTGTGCTAAATACTCCCTAGCTCCTCAAAGTGCAAACAACTTAACCTTGTATATCCTGGTACTAGAGGAACTTGCCAAGTAATAATGGCAGACGCTCCCTTTCCTGTCTGCACGTCCCTGGAAGCTCCTAAGTTTTAGCTTTACACAAGCCGCATTTGATTGAATTTAAACAATTTTAGGTAATGATTGACGTTCTCAGTTTTTGTTAAGAATAAATCAAAGAATACACAATTGCAATGAACAAAATATCAATAATTATGGCCTCTAAAACTATTAAAATTTAACTAGAAATTGCAAATGAAGTGCTGCGAAGTACAACTGCATATAAATGTTCTTCAAACAAAATTATTTATGCGAGTCAAGTGAAAATAATGAATAATAAAAATATAACAAATAATATGAGACACGACCCATTGTCTATATTCTGTCTCTTATACACATCTAGATGTGTATAAGAGACAGGTACTGGTTACTCGAGTTGTGCGAGGTATCGGCTGAGATTTGTGGAGTACAATTCAAAAAACAACTACCGTATAGGTCTAATAATGAATTATTTAGATGTTAAATAGACAATGTTAGCTATCAAAGAGCGACATTGTTTTTCATTGGGACCTTCGTCCCTTCAAGGCTAGGCCTATACCATCCTAGCTAGTCTAGGCCTAGAGTAGGATAAGGCTAGCGCGACATGCGGACGTTGGTATGAGTATAGTTAGTCTACAAATGTCGCCTAAAGTAATTGATTTTACCCGGCAGAACGAAAGAAGAAAACTCCGCTTTTCAGTCGTCTTAGCCCCTTGTTTTTTGACAAACAATGACCTTTCAGAGGTCAAATTGCTGTAACGAATATGAATCGTTCTTCCTGCAGGAAAATACCCAAGCTGGGCGCCAATATTTGGGACATGCCCCTAATTTTTTGTTTGGGTAAAGACACTTTATACCTTTTTTTTTCTTCACCTGGGAGTATCTGGTGTGCATGCAGAACAAAGAATACTCCCATATGAGAGCACAACGAATGCTTTACATTCCGTGCCTGTGGATATAGTTTGAGTTCTGAGGGCTTATAGTATTAACCAATCCCCATTAATACTGTAGATTACTGGTTGAAATGTAACACATTTATGATTTTTTTATATTCAGTACCGGTTCATTCTTGACTGTCATGAAAATGTTCAAATTTTGGTTGGTTCCAATGCTGTTTGATTTGAAATTCACACACCATTTTTTCGATACCATATTCATTTGCAGTCTCTCGCTGCTTAGTGATATATTTTTGACTTTCTTATTAGATGTATAAATTTCCAGCTTTTGAGTGTGTTCGTATGTTTTAAGCTCTAGGTCTACAATTGTGTTACCCACTTCAATAAAGACCTGGGTTTGTTTTCATAGCATTTGTTAAAATAATAAAATAATGAATTCAAAAGTACAGTAATTTTAATTTAGTTAAAATATAGATTTTCGATTTAGTGTGAATTTGGAATTACAAAATTTAATAAAATTGTATGCTCCTTTTAATAAGGTTATAAGAATCGACACACACATCCTCATGATGATGCCATGGCGAACAGTGCGAAAGTCTGGATCCATACATGATGCTGTGATAAGTGCGAAGAAAGCAGTTTGGCATTTACTGTACTTCCACCTCTGACTTATTTCCCATTTCTTATTGCAGATGAAATGCTTTACACAATATTAAAACATGCTGCATTTTTTTCTTTTACCAGTTTCATCAGTCCATATCAACTGGGTTTTTGTAAAAATCTGGGAAATAAATCATGCTCCATCTAATCACTTAAGTACATTTTGAGACAGGTTCTGCTTATTTATCTTAATTTATTACACTGAGCCAAGGCCAGTTAGTAGCAATATTCCTTCAGTTTGCAGTGGCGTAACCAAGGGGTTTTTACGGTGCCTGAGCAACCCTTTTTGTTCAAACATGAAAAAAATAATACTACCGTAAATTAATTGAAATAAGTGACAAAGCAAGTTACTTTAGATGCAACCAAAATTATACTGTAGTCATTGTCCTCGAAATGCTGCGTCTCGAGTTTTGCGGCTTGTGGAAAGTACAGTGAATGTTATATTTCTATTCCTGGATAGGGCATTGGTTTGTACTACCTGGGAGGTGTTTTTTTTATACCTCCCCTGTACTACCATACCTCCATGTTTAGGTTGCTACTGTGACACCTTATAAGGGCTGATGCCAAAGGTCAAATGAACTACTGCAATTTTATGAGATAGCTCTTTTGGACCATTTCTTCTATAAGGGAGTTTTTGCCATGAATACAACATATCATGTAGTACTCTTGAGTAGCATTATGTATTCTAATGATTTTGTATTCAAACTCCATGACTTTGCTTTATTTAAGTCATCTCTCTCTTTCCTGTAGATCTGTTGATTATTTTATGAACAACTCAATAAGAAAGTGGTACCACATAGAAGAGGAGGAGGAGAAGATTGTTCATCATACAAGATAGAATTTGTTGATCTCTGCAGTGAAGTCATATATTCATCCATAAAAAAAAAACATGCAGTACAAGTATATCAACATCCCTAAAATAAATATCCCCTGCATTTTACACCTAGTTTTCTACTACCTCCAGTAATGATGGTGGTAAAAAAAAATCAGTATTTTAAAAATCAATGTTTAAATGCAATTCTGATATCTGAAAAGCTGATAAAATATGAAATGCCAGCATTAAATATCAAGCTTCATACCAAATTTAAACAATGCAAACTTATGTAACTAATGATTTTATGAATGCCTTGGTAAATATATGGGGAGTGGGGAGGTGTGTATGTAGAGGATTCTTGTGTGATTTTGTTGTTGTGTTTCAGACCGGCATGTAGTATTCTGAAAGAATTGGATTGCGAGTGAGTGAAATATTGTTAACACTTTATAGGTACTACTACTACTTTATATTAAGTCTTAGAAATGCACCTTGCACATATGGGTACTAAATATTGATTGCTGTACCTTCAAATCAATTTGTTTCGATTTCTTATTGAATTAAAGGATGTTTCTAGTTTTTAAATTTCTTGTTTTATGATTTAAAGTGTTTTAATTGCAATGTTGTTGCATGTTTTGAAAAAAGTTATAAATTTTTTCATAATAATATTTAATTTGAATATCAGTTTGGGTTTGAAATAAAAATGTTTGTTTATACTATGATGGGTTTGTTGAAATAAAAAAAAAAACATTTCCACAAAGTGCATACTGTACAAAGTATTCTTTCTTTTTATTTTCAAATTTGTTTATATATTTCTAGCATAGTAGTCCAGCCAACAAAAAATAGTAATCAGTTACTGTCGTATACTATTGCAGTTAGCTACCATTAGTGTCACAATTGCTATATGGCGGTTTTCACAGCTTGTATAGATCTCTGGTTGTCTACTTTTTTAAAATTGAGTTTGATTGCTTTGCCACTTTGATATTTTCTCAGTTGAAATTCAGACAGAAATGGACCTCCAGTTAGGGGCTGAGAATACTGGACAATCAGCTTTATCACATTAGTCACTTCTGAAATATGACACTGCTGTAAAATGGTAGTGGGCATGTTGTGGAAAATGAAGAATTTACTCCATAGCAACTAATTTTTTAGATTGTGCATTGAAAATTGATTCACATACACATCTCAACATATTGTAGCTTATTTCAAAAATTGGAATAAAAAACTGTCTAGCCGTCTAGGCTTGATACCTGCAAAGTACTTAAACATGAATTATTGCTTGTTTTAAGCAGGCTTAACAATATAGCCAGCTAAATATATAGCAATGATGTATACATGTAATTATAGACCATTATCTATGGGAAGATTATAGCTGGTTTATTGTTAAGTCTGTTTTCATCTGCTTTTAGCAATCTTCCTTTGATTTAAAATTAAAACAGACATAAGAAAACATTACAAAATGAGAAATCAATATCTCTATGGCAAATTATTAAAGTAATAATAATATAATTTGATCTATGTTTGTTCAATAACAGCGCAGTTCACTTAAAAAAAATGTTAACACAATATACAAGATTCCATGTGTTTCGTAAATTCCGTGACCTTAGTGTCCGTGCAGATGTTCAATTGTTGTTGATACAATAATTATATCTTGCTCCCACCTAAAAGCCTGGTGCTGATAGACTTTTATCCATGAACTTCTTTTTTGTAAAGCACATCCACCATTTGCTAGGTTTGTCCGTTACTGGGTCAAAGACTTTTTCGATAATGCGTGCACCAGTTTCTTGGCGGATTTGTGTCATGTATTGTCGCAGCGTATCTGAAAGTATCACATGATTATAAGTTATAGCAAAAAACTTAGCAGAAGAATGAGCTCTTTGCGTAGTTTGCATTAAAATTCATGGAATATCTGCCATTGACAGGGTGGAGAAACTAAGGAAACAAACGAACCCAAGCATCCAACAACCAATCGCCCTTGATTATAAAGATATAGTGAAAGCCAACTTATAATAAGAAATTTTGCCCTTCATGGACCACATCATCTCACAATGCATTTCAACTGGAAGTTTCACTATATCACAAAATGGTATCTTCTATTATCGTTGGTTATAGTATGGCCTACAAAAATATCATCTCTGCACCCTGTGGCAGGTTAAAGGGGAGGGGGAGCAACAAGCCTGTCTGAGAATGTCATTTCCGGCCATATAGGGGGCTGAGGTGGTAATAAAACCTTCCATTTGTCAAAGTCCCTCTCTGGGCCCCCTCTATTTCCAAATTCCAGGATCTGCCACTGGCACCTACTACTTTCGTCAGAATTCCAGATTTTTATTCTCAAGCTCTTTAAATACAAATTGTATGCCCATATATGGTCATGATGTGATGTCATCATGAACATATTTAGGCATTTCAAATAAAATTTAACAGTCTGCACAGGGCTTAAATTTTTAAATTACTGTATTGTTTACAAGTTTCACAAATTAATGAATCACAACATGACGATGTGCCTACTACATACCTGCCTCATTTCTGTCTGCTGGTTTTTGGTAGAGAGCATTCAGTGGGAAATTTGGTTCACCTGGGATGGAAAAATTTTCTATTCCAAGTGTATTCATTTCTTTTACTGCTGCATTCTTGGAAGGACACTACAAGTATTAAAGAAGATATGAGTACCACTCAAGATGACGCTTGGTTACAAATTCAACATTTTATTGCACTACAGGCTGTTTCATGAGGTACTTCCTCAATCATCAGGTGCTAGGCTCTGAATGAGACTGCAGAATAACAATCATGCATGGTGGAACTGTTAATTGCTATATATATATATATATCAAATATTTTTGGTAAGTGGTTACAATTTGTCGTTGACAGATCAGAAAATTTAACCGGGTTTAACTCTGCTAATCTGTTAGGGACAAATTGGGCAGCCTTCCTGATTGTATCGAGAACAGCTTCACAGTTTAGCAATTGCAGTGGAAACTCTGTAGCAACGTATGTAGTGAATTTATTAAAAAAAAGTTTTATATAGAGCAATACATTTGCTATTGGCAAAATCAATGGCTCATATTCCTAATAAAATAATATAGAAATGACAACAGCACTTTCAAGACTAACTAACAATTTATATAAAAAATAATCAACTAACAGCATTGCTGAATTGTCTGCACACACATTTTATGGACCAGAAGGTACTGTAGTCAAAAAAAAGTATAGAAAATATAGTTCACTCACCTTTTGAAGCTTCTTTAAACATTCAGTAATATACAATGTTATGTAGATCAATACCCTGTCAGCAGCACTCTATAATGATACGAAAATAATATTCTTAAATACCAACACAAGATGGGATTGACCATAAAGCTATCTACTGTATCTACACTATCAAAGTTTGTGTGACAAATACTCATATATGGTCATGATGATGTTACATTATACCCAGATATGGACATAACACATTTATTTGTCACATAAAATTGTGTTCGATGTCGAATATACCAAACATGTAGGCTGCCGGCATCCTGACCTTTGACGATTAGACTTTAGTGCCAACAAATTTTCACAAAAAAATGTGATGCAATAATGACAAAATGATTATTATTGTTTATTTTCAGTAAATATTTCAGCCGTTCCAAATTTCTTTCCTATTCCTTTCTTCCTATGCTTCTTTCATTTTTCGTTAAATTTAATCTATTTTACTAAATACACATTTACGCATAATATATATATATATATATATATATATATATATATATATTTTAACTGTACTCTAGAACTAGAGGCCTGTGTATACATTGTGTCTGATTTAATATAATTCAATCTTTTTGCTTTATTTAAATATCAAATATTATTATAAACTTTAACGATTACATTATTTCATATAATATACTTTTCAAGTAAATATCCAAACAATTTTTATTTTTATTAATTAAATATAAACTCTGAAAGTAAATTTACATAGATTAGATCAATAAAAATGAATATAGTAAGTAATCCTTATAGTTATTAACAAGAATAACATTTTCAATCTTCTAATCAACTTTATATAGACGGAGTTAGTTTCGACCTAGGCAAGCCTTGATGAAAAGGTACAATTTCTCCATCAAAAGGCTTTTTCTATGAATGGAATGACCTTTTCGAAGCACGAACTCCTGTAGACCAAACCCAGTACTATTATGATTTTTAATCGTGCGGGAAATCCACTCACGATGCATAAATGGTTCCTGTGGTGGATCAAGTCTTCTCGGATAATAAGGACTCTAAACCGTAGGTCCAGTTTACACAATTGTCCCGTGTGCACTTTAAAGAACCCAATACATCCTTTGAGAAGAGTAGGGGGTTACCCTGGTGTACTGGTCCATTTCAGCCCCCCCCCCCCTGTCCAGCCACAGAAGGAGTGTTTACATTGCAGCCCATGTCAGGTATCCTGCATGAGAATCCTTCTACCACACTACGTAAGCAAAATCACACACACTAGCTTCATAGTGACTCGAGAAGAAGATTATCAACATTATCTTTAGCCATTAATATAATCATTATATTTGTGAATACTGTACCATTCAAACACATGTATTTAAATATTTGATCAAGGTGTTATATAAAGATTCATCTCATGCTATAATAATTACCATAAATGTATTTATTATCCTACTAACCTTAATTTCATACTCTTTGAAGAAGACATTGGCTTTAAAATACTGCAAAGATTCATCAATTATATCTGCATCACCCGCTGTTAGAAAAATGTTAAAGGCGAAAAAAAAAGTTACAGCAAATGTGAATGTAATATACATAGCCCTCCCTAGAGTATGTCTACTATCTTAATATTATATTAGTTGGAATACTGTACAAATGTTAGTCAAGTAACAGGGTAAAATCATGATTATTTCTTTATAATAATAATACTTCATTCACACTGAATCTGAATAGTCGGATCGTAAGGCCTACCGAACTGATCCGATAAGAAAATTGAATCAGCGTGTATGAATAGGGTCTCTGGCGTTCAGACCATCAGAAAACATGTTCCGAATTTCGGTTAAAATCTGATGTGAATGCACCTTTACAGTATATTAGGCCAAGTAAAAAAAAAAAGTTTCTCGACCTAACATGTTGAAAAAGGGAGAATGAGGGGACTATTTTTTTTTTCACGCCGAGATGGCAAATCCAAGATGGTCTGATGGGAAACAGGCTACTACTTTCCCAATTTTACCAAGTAGATACATTGAAAGCAAATAAAAGCAGCACT